ATTATGTGCAAATAAGAGCACAATTTATATGCAATCGATCACTACTACTGATGGCTGAAGTGAATTACACGGCGAGTACGGCGTCGGCCAACGGCGACGAATCACTAGAACCGTCGGTCGAGATATTGGACCCGAGAATAACCAGTAGTTCCCACTCTAATGACAAACACAGCGAAGATAATGATGAAGAGAAAAAGGTTTCCAACCGCCCTTCAAGTAAGAAATGCCTTCAAAATTATATATAAACTTTTAAATCACATTCTTTAGCTTTATTGCAGTGATTTATGTAAATATTTTCTTTATAAGAAACATTATAATTAATTAAAAACTATATAAAGCTTTTTAAACAAATGTTTATAATACTTAAAAATAACTACAGAGTTATAAATAGAAGTAATGTTGAAATTGAATAAAAAGATTTAATTAAATTAAAATTTTCAATAAATAAATGTCAATTTTAATAATTAGGGGACGCGTGGAGACAACAAAGATTACCGGCGTGGCAGGTATGGTGTCATCATTAAACATATATTTCAAGCAAAATTAAATTAATATACTTAATGTCTGATTACAGCCAATATTAACAGCGGACACAGTATTGCCAGCATTTTTTCTTCTCGCAATCGCTTTAATACCGATCGGCGCCGGACTTCTCGTTTCGTCAAATTCTGTAATTTTTATTATATTTTTTGAACGTTTTTGAAAATTAAATTTACATTCATTTTTAGGTCAAAGAATATGTCTATGAATACACTGACTGTATTTCAACTGATGGTAAAACTAAATGCTCTGATATTATTGGGAAAAGCATGAACGGCACATTTAAATTTGGTAAAATTATTATGATTATAAAATTTTATTAAAATATTTGTGATTTAAACTTTGAACTATATATTCAACACATTTATAGACTTGATTATCGCTTAAATTTTCTATTGAATACTCATAGGGAAGAAGAAGTGGAGGGGAAATAAGATCAAATGCGAGTGCATTCACAACTTTACAATAGACAAGGACTTTGATGCCCCGGTATTCTTATACTACGGTCTCTCCAACTACTATCAGAACCACCGGCGATACGCCAAGTCTAGAGACGACACCCAATTGGCCGGAACACAAGCCAAACATATCAAGGATTGCCATCCATATGATTACGATAAAAACAAGCGACTTATAGCGCCCTGCGGTGCGATCGCTAACTCCCTGTTCACCGACACGTTTCAGCTCTACTATCAGCCGACTGACAGCAACTATGAACCCATAGATTTGGCCCAAACGCACATCGCTTGGCCCACAGACAAGGAGTACTTGTTTAACAACCCGAAGGACGGCTTCGACAGCAAAATAGGACGTCCGCCCCTTTGGACGAAGAATATCGACGACTTGGACCCAAACCATCCCATCAACAACGGCTACGACAACGAGCACCTGATTGTGTGGATGCGAACGGCAGCCTTTCCCA